AAACGGGGGGGGACGACGACTCAGATTTCAGCTTTCAAAAACCTACAATGCAGCGATAGAGTTGATTTCTTCCCGCTATTGTTTCTGGACATTGGGAACAAGTGTCCATGTTTCATCTTGAAATGATGACCAGAGAAGGGAATAACCAGCTATACGTTCTCTCTAACCCCCCCTTTTCAGCCAAGGCATCCACAGGCAAATCACATGGCAGTCCACAGAGGTGTGACCAACCACCCCCCTCTGTGTGAGGACAGACAAAATCATAGAGCACACAGAATTCTCTCTTTCCCTCTCTTGCCCTTGAAGCTGGGTCCGCTTCAAGGGCAAGAGGTCTGGCAAGATTAGGGACAGAACAAACAATATGTGTTTCGATTATGTTCATCATATTTGTTTAACAGTATGGATCCCATGCTACACTATGCTACAGTAACATGTTTTGAGCTGTTGCTAAAGCTTGGACAAGCTTTATTTCACTAAGGGTTAAACACTGATATAACATTAGTGTTCATGTGTTCCTCAGATGCTCATTACATTTCCATTACCAAGTATGAAAGAAGCATCCTGTTGATATGGATATGACCAAGAGTCATTTAGTGGAATCCTGATCTCTATTCGCTGCTAGCTATTTCAAAGAGAGTAAAGAATCATTTGACTAAAGGTTATTGCTTCCTGATTAAGCAAATCATTCAATAAAACATTATCTGGCGAAATAAACATCTTATAGTATTAGAAATATAAATTCCCAGCTGGTTGGGAATATAATATAATATAAAATCCCAACATTAATGTGGCATCCTACCTGGATGGGCATTGAACTTAAAATCACAATGATATCATCACAGCCCCAACCCCTTTACAGGGGAACAGAAGACCTCACCTTTCTGACATTTTGAATTGAAAAAGCTTCCTGGATGGAAGGGAAACGTCTTCAAACTTGGAAACAAAGTCCAGTCGATTGTTTTTAACTTTTTTTGAATGACTATGAGCTGAATGACTGAGAATCTTTACCAGCTATTAGAACCACACTCTCCAACTATAGAGACTTAAAACCAACAGTGGATCTGAAACCATTAAAGAGGTGATAAATAGCTTCAGTGGCCTTTTGCCTTCTCCCCCACCAATCATTTTAACCCTGTGGATCACAGTCTGTATCACAAACATCTGGATATCAGTTCTGAATTCCAAAAAGTAGGTCAGAATGTCCTGAACTTACCTGAATTCTGGTTTGACCCCCAGGTCCTCCTGCTGCAGGTCCTGAAGGCTCCTGGTGATTTTGTTGAAAGATGCATCCTGTTGATGTGGAGAGCATCAGAGGGGCATTAAGAGAAGCTCCATAACGTCAACATCACCACAGAAAACAGCAGCAAACATACGGCCATTCTTTTTTTTTGTGGAGACAGAGAAGTTCTTCACTTCTCCACTTAAAGAGGTCGAACAGAAACAGATTCCTCATTTACACGTATTAAAGTCGGAGGGAAGCGGCTGTTCCAACCGTTGCATTGCCGAATTCTCCCGAATGGTGCCCGACTTTACACGACTGAA